ACCTTCACTCTAGACTCAGGAGCTTCTCGCTGTTTCTTTCGTGACCGCACTGCCCTTGAGCAGCTTGCTCGGCCAGTTGCTGTCTCCCTTGCTGACCCCTCTGGGGGTCCGGTCATTGCGACCTCCTCCACTGTCCTTCCTTGTCCTGCGGTTCCGTCGGGCACACTGTCAGGTCTCCACCTCCCCTCGTTCTCTACGAACTTGGTGGCAGGCTGTGCGCTTCAGGACGGGGGTGTCCACCAGTTCACCCCTGCCTACGAGCGCGTGACACACTGCACGTGTGCTCGGACGGGCCGTCACCTGGCTACCTTCACTCGGCAGCCGAGGTCGGACCTGTACACACTGACCACTGAGTCCCCTCAGGTAGCTGCGTCTGCATCTGCGTCAGGTCAGCTGTCTGCCCCCTGCTCGTGTCGCTCTCTGGCGCACGAGACTGTCCTCTGGCACCACCGCCTTGGTCACCCGTCAGTGCAGCGCCTTCGTGCCATGCACAAACGGTACCTTGTCTCTGGTCTTCCCCGGGTACTCCCTCCCCTCCCACCCTCGCCTGCTCCTCCCTGTCTTCCTTGTGTCGAGGGACGGCAGCGCGCCGCTCCCCACTCCTCCTCTTTTCCCCCGACGACTGCTCCTTTGCAGACGCTCCAAATGGACGTGTGGGGCCCAGCCCGCGTCCGTGGAGAGGGTCAGGAGAGGTACTTCCTGATCGTTGTTGACGACTACTCGCGCTACACCACGGTCTTCCCCTTGCGCACCAAGGGTGAGGTCCCTGATGTTTTGATCCCTTGGATCCGCGCTTCTCGTCTCCAGCTCAGCGAGCGGTTCCGCTCGGACTTTCCTGTCCTGCGTCTGCACTCAGACAGAGGTGGCGAGTTCTCCTCCGACCTCTTGGCGGCCTACTGTGCGGAGCACGGTATCCGCCAGTCGTTCACGCTTCCGGCCTCTCCACAGCAGAATGGGGTTGCTGAGCGCCGCATTGGCTTGGTCATGGAGGTCGCTCGTACCTCCTTGATCCATGCGGCTGCCCCCCACTTTCTGTGGCCGTTTGCGGTCCGGTACGCTGCGCATCAGCTCAACCTCTGGCCCCGTGTCTCCTTGCTGGAGACCTCGCCCACGCTGCTGTGGACGGGGGAGGTTGGCGATGCGTCGCGTTTCCGGGTCTGGGGATCTCGAGCTTTTGTCCGCGATACGTCCGCGGACAAGCTCTCCTCCCGCGCTGTTCCTTGTGTCTTCCTTGGCTTTGTCCCGGACGCGTCTGGTTGGCAGTTTTACCACGCCACCTCGCGCCGTGTCCTGCCCTCTCAGGACGTCACTTTTGACGAGTCGGTGCCCTACTACCGCCTCTTCCCCTACCGCACTGCCCCGCTCCCTCCCCCGCCTCTCTTCCTCGCGCCAGGTGCTGCTGTGGTAGACCCCCTCCCCCCTCAGGGTGCCGCTCCCTCAGGTGTGTCCCAGGTAGACCCGATTGAGCCTGTCGAGGTAGCTGTCGACTCTCGTCCTGCTCGGGGTGCTGAGCCTGAGCGTGCGGAGCCTGGGGGTGCGGAGCCTGCGGGTGCTGAGTCTGGGGGTGCGGAGCCTGCGGGTGCTGAGTCTGGGGGTGCTGAGTCTGGGGTTGCTGAGTCTGGGGGTTCTGAGCCTGAGGGTGCTGCGACTGAGAGTGCTTCACCTGGAGGCGCTCTTTCCTCACAGCAGCTGCGTGAGTGGTACTTACAGTACTGCAGCCTCAGGAGAGCTGCTGCTGGAGCTCGTGCTCGTGCTTCCCCTCCTAGGCGGGAGCTGCCCTCTCCCCAGCGGCTTCGAGAGTGGTACGCTCGTCGCTGCAGTCTCCGGAGTGGCGCTCCTAGTGTCGAGGACGCTAGAGCTGCTGGAGGTGCTGGTCCTGCTGGCACTGCTGGAGGTGCTGCTGGTGCTGGTGCTGCTGGAGCTGCTGGAGGTGCTGCTGGTGCTGGAGCTGCTGGAGGTGCTGCTACTACTGGAGGTGCTGCTGGTGCTAGTGCTGCTGGAGCTGCTGGAGGTGCTGGTCCTGCTGGCACTGCTGGAGGTGCTGCTGGTGCTAGTGCTGCTGGAGCTGCTGGAGGTGCTGCTGCTGCTGGCGGTGCTGCTGGTACTGCTGGAGCTGCTGGAGGTGCTGCTGGTACTGGTGCTGCTGGTGCTGGTACTACTGGAGCTACTGGAGGTGCTGCCGGTGTTGGAGCTGCTGGAGGCACTGCTGCTACTAGCGGTGCTGCTGGAGGTGCTGCTGGTGCTGGAGCAGCTGGAGCCGCTGGTCCTGGAGGTGCTCGTACTGGAGGTACTGGAGCTGCTGGGACTGGAGCTGCTGAGGGGGTTGGAGCTGGAGTTACTGAGCGACCGAGGCCGTACTACGTTCCGCTCTTTCAGCAGGTTCTTGGTCTCCCGCCCTCTACTGGTCCTACTCCTCCACTACTGAGTCCACCGCCTGTCCAGTCACAGTCACAGTTACAGCCTGCCTCTCCGCTGCCTGGTCCTTCTCCTTACACTGCATCGACGGGGAGTCTTACTGAGCGTCGTGAGCCTGAGTCTCGTCCTCCGTAGCCTGAGTCTAGTCCAGAGTTGCGTGTGTCGCGTCCAGAGTCGCCTGTCCGGGCTGTCCACGCTGGTCGTCGTGCTCCGCGTAAGCGTCCTCCTCCTGTCCTTGGCACTCACTATATGACCCTGCGTCCTTCCACTGCTCCACAGCGCGTCCCTCTGCCGTCTCCTCCTGCGTCCTCTCTTCCTGACGTTGCTGACCCGCCGTCAGACCTTACTCGTGCTGCCAGTCCTACTGTCGCGCGCCTCCTTGCCACTGTTGTCACTGACCCTACCTTTGAGTCCTCTGCTGCGTCTGCTCTAGTCGCTGAGCTTGTTGACTTTGCTGCCGCCTGTCGTCTAGACTACGCCGCTAGCCTTGTTGCTGAGTCTGAGTCTGTCTGTCCTCCGTCCGTCGGGGGTGAGTGTGCTCTCGGCACGGACGTCCTTGAGGACAGACAGGAGGAGTTTGAGTGCTTTGCTGCTGCTTTACCTCATCTCGTGTCCATGCTGATTGCCCCTGAGGGAGACCCGGATGCACCAGACATCCCGACCCCACGCTCCTACGCAGAGGCGATGGAGGGTCTCTACTCCTCTCAGTGGCAGACAGCCATGGACGCAGAGATGGCTTCCTGGAAGTCCACAGGCACCTACGTCGACGAGGTTCCCCCACCTGGGGCGAACATCGTCAGTGGCATGTGGATTTTCAGGGTGAAGCGGCCGCCGGGTTCTCCGCCTGTCTTCAAGGCGCGTTACGTTGCACGAGGCTTCAGTCAGCGAGAGGGAGTTGACTTCTTCCAGACCTTCTCCCCGACCCCGAAGATGACCACTCTTCGGGTTCTGCTGCACGTCGCTGCTCAGCGTGACTACGAGCTCCACTGCCTTGACTTCAGCACTGCGTTTCTACAGGGCACCCTGCACGAGGAAATCTGGCTGCGCCGCCCACCTGGCTTCACTGGGTCGTTCCCTCCTGGTACCCAGTGGAGCCGCCGGTGGCCAGTCTACGGTCTCCGCCAAGCACCTCGTGAGTGGCACGACACACTGAGGACTACTCTTGCTGCTCTTGGGTTTACTCCTTCTACTGCTGACCCGTCGCTGTTTCTACGCACGGACACCACTCTGCCGCCGTTCTACGTTCTCGTGTACGTAAACGACTTGGTCTTTGCTACTGCTGACATTGAGGCACTCGCCCACGTGAAGTCGGAGCTGCAGAACAGACACACGTGCACAGACCTGGGTGAGCTGACAAGCTATCTTGGCTTGCGGATCACCCGGGACAGAGCACAGCGCACCATCACCTTGACTCAGTCACACATGGTGCAGCAGGTCCTTCAGCGCTTCCGCTTCACGTACTCCTCGCCTCAGCCCACTCCTCTGCCTACCGGTCACTCGCTCTCAGCTCTGCCTTCGGATGAGTCCGTAGAGCCGAGTGGCCCATATCCAGAGCTTGTGGGCTGCCTCATGTACCTGATGACCTGCACTCGACCTGACCTAGCCTACCCTCTTAGCATCCTAGCACGCTATGTCGCTCCTGGCCGTCACCGGAAGGAGCACATGGATGCAGCTAAGAGGGTGTTGCGCTACTTGTGCAGTACGTCGGGCATGGGGCTTGTGCTTGGAGGACGGCGCGACGTTGTCCTCACTGGACACTCAGACGCTTCTTGGGCAGACGACCAGGCTACTCAGCGGTCGTCTCAGGGTTACACCTTCAGCCTTGGCTCTGGCTCTGTTTCCTGGCGTTCTACACGCTCTTCTTCTGTTCTCAGCTCCAGTTGTGAGGCTGAGATCTACGCCACAGCCATGGCTGCCCAGGAGCTACGCTGGCTCACCTACCTGCTGACCGACCTGGGAGAGCGGCCTCGTTCTCCTCCAGTGCTGTACGTCGACAACAAGGCCGCCCTTGCCTTGTGTCAGGAGCACAGACTGGAGCACAGAACGAAGCACATCGCTCTGCGCTACTTCCTTGCTCGAGAGCTGCAGCAGCGTGGTCAGCTTTGTCTCTCGTACGTGGCCACTCGGGCCAACACTGCTGACGTGTTCACCAAGGCACTTCAGCCTTGTGACCATCAGCGTTTCTGTACTGTTCTATGCCTTGTGCCTACTCTCCCTCACTTGCTCACTTCTTGACTCTGCTTGTACTGTGATCCCTATATATATACCTGCATGCTTACACTTGCTAGTTTGTGATCACTGTACCACTTGTTATATTATCAAACTGCATGTGAACTGGTCTTGTGACCACTTGCTTGTGCTCGGAATTTGTGTGGTATCCTTGAGATCCACCCTGAGCTTGTTTTGCTTTGCTTTGACTGGTCCTGTGACCCCTTGTTCTCCCCCACTTAGCCTATGGGGGTGTGTCAAACATTGTATGTGTTATATTTGTGTAGGCTATTGTGGGTTAGCCTCTAGGGGGTACAGAACTAGGTTTGTCATACTTGTACTCACATTCTGCTGCTAGTCCATCATTCCTGTTTCTTTCATTCTGACAGGGTGATGGAAAGCGGGAAAATGGGGCGGGGTGATGGAAAGCAGGAGAATGGGGCGGGGTGATGGAAAGCTGGAGAATGGGGCTGGGTGATGGAAAGCTGGAGAATGGGGCTGGGTGATGGAAAGAGGGAGAATGGGGCGGGGAGATGGAAAGCGGGAGAATGGGGCGCGGTGATGGAAAGAGGGAGAATGGGGCGGGGTGATGGAAAGAGGGAGAATGGGGCGGGGTGATGGAAAGAGGGAGAATGGGGCGGGGTGATGGAAAGCGGGGAGAACGGGGCGGGGTGATGGAAAGCGGGAGAATGGGGCGGGGTGATGGAAAGCGGGAGAATGAGGGGGGGTGATGGAAAGAGGAAGAATGGGGCGGGGTGATGGAAAGCAGGAGAATGGGGCGGGGTGATGGAAAGCAGGAGAATTGGGCGGGGTGATGGAAAGAGGGAGAATGGGGCGGGGTGATGGAAAGCGGGAGAATGGGGCGGGTGATGGAAAGTGGGAGAATGGGGCGGGGTGATGGAAAGCGGGAGAATGGGGCGGGGTGATGGAAGGAGAGAGAATGGGGCGGGGTGATGGAAGGAGGGAGAATGGGGCGGGGTGATGGAAAGCAGGAGAATGGGGCGGGGTGATGGAAAGCAGGAGAATGGGGCGGGGTGATGGAAAGCGGGAGAATGGGGCGGGGTGATGGAAAGCGGGAGAATGGGGCGGGGTGATGGAAAGCGGGAGAATGGGGAGGGGTGATGGAAAGAGGGAGAATGGGGCGGGGTGATGGAAAGATGGAGAATCGGGCGGGGTGATGGAAAGAGGGAGAATGGGGCGGGGTGATGGAAAGAGGTAGAATGAGGCGGGGTGATGGAAAGAGGGAGAATGGGGCAGGGTGATGGAAAGCGGGAGAATGGAGCGGGGTGATGGAAAGAGGGAGAATGGGGCGGGGTGATGGTAAGCGGGAGAATGGGGCGGGGTGATAGAAAGCTGGAGAATGGGGCGGGGTGATGGAAAGCGGGAGAATGGGGCGGGGTGATGGAAAGAGGGAGAATGGGGCGGGGTGATGGAAAGAGGGAGAATGGGGCGGGGTGATGGAAAGCTGGAGAATGGGGCGGGGTGATGGAAAGCGGGAGAATGGGGCGGGGTGATGGAAAGCGGGAGAATGGGGCGGGGTGATGGAAAGAGGGAGAATGGGGCGGGGTGATGGAAAGAGGGAGAATGAGGCGGGGTGATGGAAAGCGGGAGAACGGGGCGGGGTGATGGAAAGAGGGAGAATTGGGCGGGGTGATGGAAAGCGGGAGAATGGGGCGGGGTGATGGAAAGCGGGAGAATGGGGCGGGGTGATGGAAAGAGGGAGAATGGGGCGGGGTGATGGAAAGCGGGAGAATGGGGCGGGGTGATGGAAAGAGGGAGAATGGGGCGGGGTGATGGAAAGAGGGAGAATGGGGCGGGATGATGGAAAGAGGGAGAATGGGGCGGGGTGATGAAAAGCGGGAGAATGGGGCGGGGTGATGGAAAGATGGAGAATGGGGCGGGGTGATGGAAAGCGGGAGAATGGAGCGGGGTGATGGAAAGCGGGAGAATGGGGCGGGGTGATGGAAAGCAGGAGAATGGGGCGGGGTGATGGAAAGCTGGAGAATGGGGCTGGGTGATGGAAAGAGGGAGACTGGGGTGGGCAGATGGAAAGCGGGAGAATGGGGCGGGGTAATGGAAAGCGGGAGAATGGTGCAGGGTGATGGAATGAGGGAGAATGGGGCGGGGTGATGGAAAGAGGGAGAATGGGGCGGGGTGATGGAAAGCGGGGAGAATGGGGCGGGGTGATGGAAAGCGGGAGAATGGGGCGGGGTGATGGAAAGCGGGAGAATGAGGCGGGGTGATGGAAAGAGGGAGAATGGGGCGGGGTGATGGAAAGCAGGAGAATGGGGCGGGGTGATGGAAAGCAGGAGAATGGGGCGGGATGATGGAAAGCGGGAGAATGGGGCGGGTGATGGAAAGCGGGAGAATGGGGCGGGGTGATGGAGAGCGGGAGAATGGGGTGGGGTGATGGAAAGCGGGAGAATGGGGCGGGGTGATGGAAGGAGAGAGAATGGGGCAGGGTGATGGAAGGAGGGAGAATGGGGCGGGGTGATGGAAAGCAGGAGAATGGGGCGGGGTGATGGAAAGCAGGAGAATGGGGCGGGGTGATGGAAAGCGGGAGAATGGGGCAGGGTGATGGAAAGCGGGAGAATGGGGCGGGGTGATGGAAAGCGGGAGAATGGGGCGGGGTGATGGAAAGCGGGAGAATGGGGCAGGGTGATTGAAAGCGGGAGAATGGGGCGGGGTGATGGAAAGCGGGAGAATGGGGCGGGGTGATGGAAAGCGGGAGAATGGGGCGGGGTGATGGAAAGAGGGAGAATGGGGCGGGGTGATGGAAAGAGGGAGAATGGGGCGGGATGATGGAAAGCGGGAGAATGGGGCGGGGTGATGGAAAGCGGGAGAATGGGGCGGGGTGATGGAAAGCGGGAGAATGGGGCGGGGTGATGGAAAGCGGGAGACTGGGGCGCGGTGATGGAAAGAGGGAGAGTGAGGCGGGGTGATGGAACCCTGATCACACGAGCACCCGTGCCTAGCCCACAGCCTTCGCTGCGAGCAACCCCATTCGCCTCGAGCAACGTAACGCGCCTTGAAGACAGGCGGAGAACCCGGCGGCCGCTTCACCCTGAAAATCCACGTGCCACTGACGATGTTCGCCCCAGGTGGGGGAACCTCGTCGACGTAGGTGCCTGTGGACTTCAAGGAAGCCGTCTCTGCGTCCATGGCTGACTGCCACTGAGAGGAGTAGGGACCCTCAATCGCCTCTGCGTAAGAGCGCGGGTGTGAGGATCGGGTTCAGGAAAGAGGATTCTATTCATTGATTCACCTGGGTACAAGGCGAGGCTATATATAGGCTCGACACAAGGCAGGTAACCCAGGTGTTACGTGAATGTTCTGAGGGTCGCGAAGCGTCCCGAACAGAACCTTCCCGAACTCAGTAGAAAGCAATTCGGTGGAAACCGAATAGGCTTGAGTTCGGTACACGTAACCTGGTTCGGTGCTATAACTATAATAACATATAGGAATGCACCTAACCTAGGAAATCAAGCATATCTATGCATGATAAATAAAGCTAAGCTAGATAATGCGTAATAAAGCAGAATCAAGCAAGTAAAGTCCAGCAAATCCGTCGTACTCTCACACGTCCCCCCCTCAAAGCTGGGTGGCGTGAGAAACACCCTGCTTGACAAGATAGTCCTTGAGAGCACGGCGTGCGTTGCCCATATCAGCTTCTGCAACCCAACTGTCCTCCGATGGGTCATATCCCTTCCAGCGTATCAGGAACTCGAGCGTGTTGCCGCGTCTGCGTCGATGAGCGAGAACTATTTCCACCTCGTACTCTGGTTCATCCTGTACGAGAACAGGTGGTGTTGGCGGTAGCTGGCGTCCCTGGAACTGTTGGTTGGGGTCCTTGTAGGGCTTCAGTAGATGGACATGGAAAGCGTTGTGAAGCTTCCACGTAGTAGGTAAGCGCAAGCGGAATGTTACTGGTGTCACCTGTGCCTCAACGTGAAAAGGACCACAGAAGCGAGGCCGGAGCTTGGATGGAAGATGAGACAGGTTCAAGTTGCGTGTGTCGAGAAGCACCTGATCTCCGACTGCTACGGTGTGATCACGTCGATGGCGATCGGCATACTGCTTCTGGGAGTTCTGCATCGTGGAAAGACGTCGCTGAGTCTTCTCCCAGAGCTGCTGCATGGTGGTGACGAAGTCATGTGCGGCTTGGACGTGTGCCGTCCAAGATGAGTGTAGCGGGGATGCCGTGGATGGTGATGATGCGATCGAAGAAGAGGCGAGCAGTTGCTTCAGCTGTAGCCGTGGCGTTGGTGGGGATGAAGTGTCCCATTTTAGAGAACTTGTCGATCACCACGAGTATAGCGTCATGCCCTCGTGAGGTCGAAGGAAGTCCCGTGATGAAGTCGAGGCTAACGACATGCCATGGCTGCTCAGGTACGGGTAGAGACTGAAGTAACCCTGCTTTTTTCTGCTTGCTACTCTTCATCCGCTGGCACGTGTCGCATGAGGCGACGAACTGCTGCACGTCTGCTGCCATCCGGGGCCAATAGTAATACTTTGCTATTCCCGCTAACGTCTTGTTGCTCCCGAACTGTCCCGCGTACTGTACGTCGTGAAACTCCTCCAGCAAAATCTGTCGGAGCGGGGCATAGTTCGGTACCCAAATCTTTCCTGATCCCTTTCTTACAGCTAAGTCCTTCTCCCACTGTAACAGCTTCTGTTTCTCTGCCGTAGTAATCTCTGCGTCCACGGAGTACCCATGTTGGAATAGACCTTTGAGTAGAGGGTTCATCTCCGCCTGGAACGTCGCCGGTGCGTTGCACAGTCCGAACGGCATCATTAAGTACTTGTAGGAGCCGTATCTGGTACGGAACGCCGTCTTGTGGATCGAGTTGTCCGCCATCTTGATCTGCCAGTAACCCGACCGTAGGTCCAGCTTCGAAAAGACTGTTGCACCACGCAGTTGGTCCAGTAGGTCGTCTATGCGCGGTATGGGTGATTTGATCTTGACTGTGTGTTTGTTCAGTGCGCGGTAGTCGATGCACATCCGTAAACTGCCGTCTGGTTTTGGAGTGAAGAGAACTGGTGCACCGTAGGGAGAGGTGGACGGGCGGATCAGTTGTCTGTCCAGTAGATACTCTATCTGCTTCTTCATGTCTGCCAGTTTGGTCGGACTAAGGCGGTATGGTGCACGTGAGACGGGTTTTGCACCTGGTTCCTCCACGATCTCGTGCTCGTGGGTGCGTGCTGGAGGTACGCCTGCAGGTGGGTCGTCGGGCATTATATCCTTGTACTGCTCCAAGACCTCCTTTACTGCTGCAGGTAGCTCTGTGTTCGGCTTCTCCTCCTCTGCTGCTGCTGTCACCAGTGCTAAGTAACCCGTGTTGCTCTTGTTCACCGTCCGTTCGATCATCTCAGGAACATTCCTTATATCCGTCCAGCTTCGCAACTCCACTCGTTTCCCGTTGTTGTAGATGCACGCCTTCCGGTTGACCCAGTCAATCTCGGGGTTGAACCGCTTCAGAAAATCACGCCCCAAGATGAAATCTAATCCCTTGATGTTCGTGGTCGGCAACGTCGGCTTCCACCTTAACGCTCCTATCTGCAGTTGCAGTGTTGACTCGCCGTGGATGGGAAGCTTCGTACCGTCCACCATCGTTGCTGCAAACTGGGTCTCTTCTGAGGATTCTCCAATTTTCTCCAACGTCCCGCGGTCGCACACCGAGTGGGACGCACCACTGTCCACCAGGGCCTGGAGGCGACGCCCGTTGCAGATCACCTCGAGTACTAGTGGTTGCTGCTGCTCCGAGTAGCCGTAGATGGTATCGCTTATAGGATCGTAGGGTACGTCGAATATGTCATCCCTAGGTCCTGCGCTCGAAGATGCAGCTTCAATATCAGTTTTCAACTGAGAAATGTTAGAAGGATTTATCCGTGGCCGATTCAGCTTCTCTTGGGCCTGGAACCTTCCCCTAAACCTTTGCAGCTGTGTAGGCTTCACCAGTGGGGAACGGCGGGGAGCCTTTAAACAGTGCTGCTGGGAGAGAATATTAACTCCTCGGAACGCTCGACCCGTATTAGCGCTCTGGAGTAGGGTCCCCATATTACCCGGTACCGGTTTAATTTCTGACTCTCCCTTAATAAAGGCTTGAAACCCACGAGAAGTAATATTCGTACTTGTCGGTGCAGGGTCTTGTTTCGCGGATCCTCCTTTAGTCTCGGCGATTTCCCCTGGTGCCGGCTGGTCGTGACGTTTTAAATTTGCGCCACCATATTCTCCTTTTTTCGCCCTCTCCGAAGTTGCCACGTTGTCCGTTTTCTGCTTCGGGGGTGCCACACTGTTCTTGTCCCTCAGCTCTGCACGCGCTTTCTCCATTTTCCCACACGCCAAGAAACGATGTCCTATAGCGCCGCAAAATTCGCACGTCTCATTTTTTGCTAGCCGCTGCTCCACATCGCCCTTGTCGTTCTCCATCGGGTCGGCAGTCGTGGGTGGTGCCAATCGCCCCATGCCACTATTTGGCTTGTTGCGTTGTGTTCCGTAGTAGCTACTGTTCAACGCGTCGAACTGTTCGATCAGTGCTACACGAAACTGCGCCCACGTCCCCTCGCCTTGGACTATTCTGTTGTTGATCCACTCTAGAGCTGGGCCTTGTAACAGTGTTGCTGCGAGCCGTATGCGCATTGCGTCTTTTGTCGGGGTCGTGCATCCAACGGCTTCGAAGTAAATTTCGAGTTCAGCTACAAATCGACGAACGTCGTTCCCTTTAACTATAGGATCGAACGCTCCGGTAGCCTCAGATTTACTGCTTCGAGGTTAACTGTAGCTGCTGCCGTTGTCGCAGGTAGAATTGCCGGTGTCGCCGCTGCTGCTGCTGCTGTCGCTGCTGCATTCGCTGCTGCTGTGGCGGTTGCCGGCTGATTCGCAAGGAGTTTTTCGAGTCGTGGGAGCGCCGCACGTATTTGCTTATGTCAGCACGAAACTCCGCAATTTTCTGTACTGAAATATCTCCTTTTCCCTCCATTTGGCGATTTACAGGAAGATGCGCGACGAAACTAATCGAATTCTAGGTGCTGGTCGACTTACTGCGAGTCGAGTTGAATGTAGAATCTGTCAGATTTATATGACATAGCTACTGTAGGCTATAGTGGGGTGGCACATATGGGGTACAGTTTTCTAGGGTTTGCTTTTTGTACCCAACTTTCACTTAGTCATTCCATTCCTCGTTTCTTCTCATGGTATCGAGCAGGTTCCCTAGTGGGAACGATTCCTAGGGCCCACCACCACGAAATTATTATTTTTTATTTTTTTTCCTGCCCGGAGCGCGTTTTGCTCCGGCCCGAGTCGCGCCGCCCCTACGGCCCTTCGCGCCGCCCTTTCGGCCCGTCGCGCCCGTCGCGCCTGTCGCGCCCGTCGCGCCCGTCGCGCCCATCGCCACCTTACGCGGCCCCGCCAACTACCTTCGCGGCCCCGCCACCTACCTGTGCGGCCCCGCCACCTACCTCCGCGGCCCCGCCACCTACCTGTGCGGCCCCGCCACCTCCCTTCGCGGCCCCGCCACCTAACTGTGCGGCCCCGCCACCTACCTCCGCGGCCCCGCCACCTACCTGTGCGGCCCCGCCACCTACCTTCGCGGCCCCGCCACCTACCTGTGCGGCCCCGCCACCTACCTCCGCGGCCCCGCCACCTACCTGTGCGGCCCCGCCACCTACCTTCGCGGCCCCGCCACCTACCTGTGCGGCCCCGCCACCTACCTTCGCGGCCCCGCCACCTCACTGTGCGGCCCCGCCACCTACCTCCGCGGCCCCGCCACCTACCTGTGTGGCCCCGCCACCTACCTCCGCGGCCCCGCCACTTGCCTGTGCGGCCCCGCCATCTACCAGCGGCCCCGCCACCTACATGCGGCCCCGCCACCTACTAGCGGCCCCGCCACCTACCTGCGGCCCCGCCACCTACCTTTGCGGCCCCGCCGCCTCCTCTCAGCGGCCCCGCCGCCTCCTCCCAGCGGCCCCGGACGCCGCCCTCTCAGCGGCCCCGCCGAGCCGCCC